GGGGGGGGGGGGGTACCACAGAAAATATGTTAAGGAAAAGGCATTACTATTCCAAACATATCAGTGAAATCACAACTAAAACTACATTCAACTCGCACTTGAAGGGAGATCTGCAGCCAATTGTAAAATACTCAAAAAGCATGCTTCAGCACAATGTTAGAAGTTACAAAACGAACAAAAAGACAACTATGAAGGCCATTCCCAGTGATCAAACGACTCCTTAAGGGCAGTGCAGACAAACCACATAAACTAATCACAATCTCAAGCAAATTACACTCACACATTAGAAGAGACTATCCTTTTCCTCACATATAACTTATGATTTCCATGGGACAAGAGATGGTAACAGTAAGAAAAATGACAGCACAAAAATATCAGTGGCTGAAAATGTGACCTTTTGAAATGTAGGGGAATAACAAGACCTTCAAAAAGGGGAATGCATTGCAGTAAATCAGCCTACTCTTGTCTTGCTGTCTGTGTCTTTACTGATGATATTTGCACAAAACAAATCTCACGTGGATGGTTGAAATTTTACAAACGTGTTAAAAAAGGGGCCCAGTCCCACACTCGCTGATACTTTCTAACTGAAGCAATTTCAAAGCTGTAACCTGCCAGACCCCTGGCAAGGTCAAATAACCGTAACAGAAGAATGCAAGCACACAAGTGCATGCAAACCAGAAGCATGTACCTATTAATGCACATCCACACACTCATTCACTGTGTCACTGAGAGTGAAATGTAGCCTGTCTAGTCACTGTATTCAAAGTGAAAGTGACCGACACCACAAAGCACTCTTAAGAGACCAGACAACTCCTCTGCATAAATGCACATAACTGTGACCTTATTTAACTTTCTCTTACTCCAGGCCTGCAAACTGAATAGAAACCAAACTTCACTTTACAACAAACCGCTTTCAGTGTGCTACTGCTGGGCCAAACCAAGCTAAAGCCACAAAGAGGAACTACGGACTAGAGAATGTAATTGTTTTTTTACTATACACATAATCACAGAGATTCTTGTTGACTTATGATGTTAATACGGCTTATTTTTAACAAAATTCATACTATGTTTTAAAAAAACTGCCTTTTCTGCTCAAAGTCAGCTTGTATGTGTCATCTCGGTTTGATTCAGCCTAATTCTCTGGGCCCTCGCTAACTGTGACAAATTAGGAAACACTTCCGAGAGGTCTATTATGTATGTTGACACTCCTTGAGGCTATGTATTGATACTCCCCCCACAGAGTCGCTAGCCTGGCTACAACACAGATACCCACACATTAACTCTCAAAAGGGCCATACATGTGCTCCTAGAGACTGTCAAAGCTCCATCAGACAACTATAGTTGCTCCCACACTCCTTTCTGTGGCATTTTTCCAATATGCTGGGATATTAGGGTCTGTACTTACTCATTAAGTTCACTTTGGACTTTATAAATATGAGGTGGAGCAGGGTTCTTCCTTAAGTGAAATGTGCTTTGGATGTACACTAAGGTGCCATATTCTTCATTCAAAATGGCAAGGCACCAAGATTAAAGCTATAATGCTCGCTCTTTTTATTCAATGCACTCTACTCGAGCCTCACAGCCTACATAAAGAGACTCTCTTTATTGCCAAAACCCTTGAACCTGTGTGTACCTCCGCCATAATAAGGACATATCCTGGGGGTGCAAAACCACTTCAGCGGTTGACAGCTAGATTATGAGTTTCAAATGTAGGACGAGTTAGTGTTTGCGTGGGGGTCTGCACTTACGCTCTGCCTCTCACACATCTGATGAAGGTAGGCCCTTCCTCCAACAATGACTATTTGAGCATTGCGTGGGTTGCTCAGGTATGCTGCCAGTTGCCTTTGTCTTGATCGGTACCAGCACACATAGAAGAATATCTTGATGATGATAAATATGATGACAACTCTGTAAAGGGAAGAGGAAAGGGACAACGTGAGGGGGGGATTGGACACAGATGGCCAGCTTTACTTTCACTTTTAAACATTTTTATCAAAAAAGAAAGTTCTACTCACATGTACCAGTACAGCTCCATTGTTGTGAGATGTCAATCACTGATTAGAGGCTCTCATAGCTGGGGGACAACTTGCTGATCCCTGTCCAAAACCACTACTTGCCCTGAAAACAGTAACATTTTTTAATAGTTTTCACCCCCTGAGAGGCGGTATCAATACATTACTTCACTTAATCAATTATAATAGCTCAACATTAACTCGCATTTATAGACCCAGAAGCTCAGATTATCTCACCACTTCTGCTAGGGTTGAGTTAAACGCTCAAGTACTTTCTATAACTTAAACCAGATGGGAAGTTTAGCACGACAGCTCCTCCCGTTAACTAAACTGAACCCAAACACAGGGACACAAGGAATCTTGAACTTACTTTATAGCGACAACTCGGTCTTCTGGCTTTAGCTGGAAAGGTGTACCATTTCCCTCTTTTGTCGTTTCGGTGATGTGATGCCGAAATAAATCTCCAGGAACCAGCTGGTGCTACAGCTAGTTTTAGCTAAGCTACGGTGTAGCAGGCCACAACAACAACTACTCTATTTACCCACGCCGCGAAATAAACAACCACTGAAATTGGGCTTTTTTTGAGAGCATACCGTCTTGGTATTAATATACGAGGTCACCAGCTAGGTAAGCTACCCGTTAACCTGACACTGAGGAAACAACTAAACTAGTCTTTAGAGAGTTTGAGTTGGCGTTGGCTGATTTAGCTCATCCCCTTTGCGTTCAGTACTGCCTTTAGGTTTCAGTGGGCGGCGTTCACGGGACTGTTGCCTTCACTGCTTCCCGTAAACTGCCCCCCCTGAACACAGACGTAACCATTACCATTCATAGGTTGGTTTGTTTTACGTTCAAGTGCTGCTGTCGCTGTCAGAAATTATCTCCGGAAATGGCACTTTGGTTACCGATGTATTTGAGTCGAGCAGAGCCCGAGCTTGCTTGTGCTGCTATAGAATAAAAGGGGTGAGAAAATAAAAGTCAATTTTAGGTAGGGTTATAGTTTGTGTTTTTATTTTATAGCAAAAACAAAACAAAACAGAGAAATGTACAAATGTTTTCAAAAATAGTTCTCCCCGAAGATCACATCTCAGCAGAGACAGCAGCAGATTTGTCACAAAAAGTGATTTAAAAATATCTTTCCGGATTATTGCTCATTGTACATATTTCCGGGGTCATGTAAGGTAGCATAGGTTCGTGTCCCAAAAGGTAAAAAATGGGACCAAAGAATTTTTTCATTAACATTTTCCTTATATTAAACATGTGGAAACGTATGGAAAATATACTGAACATGCACAAATATCCAATTATTGCTCATTGTTTAAAACCAGATGTTCAGTTAATGTCGTTTTAAAATCAGTCTACGCTACTTTTAAAAATCTATTGAACAACTATTCAAAAAAATACCATTTGAAATGTAAATAAAAATGTAACTGAATGAGAAAGAGATCTAAAAAGGTCAGGTTGTTCCTACTGCTTTACTATTTGCCTCCATCTAGTGGTCATTTGTTTAAAATGCAAGCTGTCATTTCAGCGACGACCAAATACAGAATTATACAGTAAACAAAGACTGCATTAAATATGTACACAGAAAAGAAAAGCAGAGCTATCAGAATATATAGAAAGTGTATGTAACTGAGCTCATTTCTAAGCAGAACACAGGAAATCTACAACATTTTAAGATCTCAAAAAAGACAAACTTGACAGTATTTTAAAGTATTTGGATCGTTTTCGTTAAAATAAACCAAAAACACCCAATGCAATAAAGGTGAAAGGTCAATCATCACGACATCCATTCAACCCAACACTCTCAGAAAAAAAACAACACAATTTTTTGTCGTATGTCTGTTCCTGTCAACATGACGAACAAACAGTTTTTATTACAATTAAAAAGCATCTTTGATTGCAAGTTATTTCAAAATAGAGGTTTCCCTTTAGTCTTTTAATGAAAAAACTATTTAAACCACCTGTGTTTGATTTATAAAACATAACACATAAGAGTCAATGATCATTTTCTGTTAAACAGAATGCAAAGCTCTTCACCAAATCCTGCCAATTACATTACTGTTGATGTTTAACATAACAGTTTTGAATAGTAAATGTACAGTACATCTTCAGCTATTTGTCCAATAACACAAACACAATGCTTTTTCATCAAAGTGACACCTCTGAGTGAGTCCACTGTCTTTCTTATCGGTTGTCTTCCACGATGATGGTCCGTCTTGGGTAGGTGTCTACGTCCACAAATATGTAACGAAACTCATATTTTCCAGTTTCGGGATTCTGTAAAGCAATGCAGCAAAAAGAAGTTAACAGTGTCTGAACTCGGTAGACATTGGTAAAAACACTACTGGATACTTCTGGATACTTTCCATTCTTAAATATCGGGATTGAGCTGAAACACGAACAATACTGCTTTGGTATGTCACATCCATTTCTCAAAACACTAACCTCTTTTGACTCTGAATGTACAGTTCCTTTGCGGCCGGGCTCAGAGCCTTCGATGTAAAACTTGAGTTGCATATGCTTCAGTCCGTCCTTCAGGTACTCCATGTGACTGGAAACACACACACAAACACACACAGCATCAAAACACTGCCACCACACTGATGCTTACTCTTGTATAACAGTGCTGTTTTTTTAATGAGAAACTTTTTTGTTACAATCTCAATGGAATAAAATCTTATGACGATTTTAAGTGCCATAACTGGACAGAAATGTGCAACCTATTTATTACCTTGTGTATTAATAAACAGCTTACTTGTGTAACAAAATCCCCACCTGACTTGCTGCCTCCTTCCTCGACGGGTAGTCTCCCCATAACACTTGATCGGCTCCCCAAATGCACCAATTACCTAGATTTTCAATAAACAAAATGTTTTATTGCCCTTTACATTTCAAGAGGAGCTGATTGACACAATATAGCTGTGTTCTGATGGAGAAGATGTTATCTTTAGGTTGCTGAACGGTTAAAAAGAGAAATACTGTTTGTTTGACCTCAGCATCCTGTGATCTCAGTCTTACCTCTGGGTCTAACCTAACTTTGTTGAAAGCCTTCCCATAGATTTTATTTGGACTTGAGGAAGAAAACAGCTCCTGGAACACCACATATAATAGCCCACCTGAAACACACACACACAGAAAGTACAACACATAAAATCAAAATCCATTATTTGACGTACAATGAGAAATCTGTTCATTTGTGATGGAAACTCTTGAAATCTTGAGGTTGTAGTCACCCGTCACTCCAAGCCCGATGAGGACGACTATCAAGTAGGTGAAGTCTCTGCCAGCTTCTTTCACTGGAAGATATGTAGGGTGGGAGTTATTATCAGTCAACTGTAACAGTTTAATACTTTATCAAGTAAATGTACCCAACATTTGCTGGTTCCAGTCTCACAAATGAAAACATGTGCTTGCCTAATTCAGTAAATAAATGTTGCCTTATTGGCTCTTGGACCAGACAGACAACTGTAAGACAATGCATTAGACTCAGATACTGTTTATACATTCAATCATTATACTGACTGAGGGTATACATAAAATAAACTATACTATAAGACTATAGTTTTTAATTAGTCCATAAAATACTATAATAATCACTAATAAAAACTGCTGCTGCACAGGAAATCCTGCCTACCCTCCTGTGCATATGGAAGAAGTCCACCAGGACCCATTGTTAACATTGTCATTCATTATTTTGTGTATACTGTGATTGCTTTGACACTGTGGAAACTATACAATCATGCAATTCAGCGTGCTTAAATGAGATTACACCAGACAGTGCACTCCTCCTGCCTATAACAGGGCCTTACTGACCTTTTTGTGCAGCTGAAGGCTTTGGGCTCCCACTCTGGTACCTGGAAACTGACCTGTCTCTCTCTTCGGGGCTGCTTTTATTTCTGACCGCAGAGTCCAGCCAGATACCCCGCCGCCTGTGTGCCTGAGCGAGGCAGCTCAGCACCGGGGCAACAGACGAAGGAGCCTCGCCTCCTCTGTGGAAGGTCAGTCTCGACACTGTTGACGCTGTCCTGTGTGTGTGGATGAGCACACACTGCTGCACGGAGTACTGTGCGGCTGTCTGTTGTAGATTCCGGTGCAGAGCCCTCAATATGTGCGTATAAGCCATGGTTGCGTCCTCTGTGAGTCAGCGTGAACTCTGGTTGCGTGCACAGTCAGCAAGGTGAGCTATGATCCCTAACAGCTAACAGCCAACCGTGTATCAGTGTACCTAGCAGAGGCTCTAATAATGTAAAAGTGACAGAATAAACGACTTACACTACGCTACGGGGGTGATCTGTGTCAAATCTGTCGTGGGATTTGTATTGCTCAGGCGCACACTTTTGACGTCACAGACCGTTCGCAGGATTCATGGGAGGTTGAGTTTTTAATGTGGCACCTATGTTTAACAGCCTGCACACCTTCACAGGCAGGTAAACAGATTGAGAACTACAGACAACAATAAGATATCTCTCTAAAATACTGACAGTATGCTATTTTTTGCCATGGATTTCTATTTTTCTATATCTTCATCGTCATTGATTATGCGTAAACCTGGGCTGTTTTTATGTATTTTAAATGTATTTATGATTTATGCATGAGGGTGATTCATCACTAATTCACTTTTATAAAGATGCTGCTATTCTTGCCCTGACCATTGACTACTGGCAGTGGTGAGGGCAAGCGCAATATCATTAAGTGCAGATATGAAAATATACGTAAAATAAACTTCCCCAGTCCCCAGTCAGTCTGCGCCATTATTCATGTATCTGTTTTGTAGTCAGCATACTGAGCGTCATGGTCAGTCCATCCCCCCCCCACAGCAGAAAAAGTAAGATCCCCCAAAAGCCATGGTAGTAGTAGTAGTTCACACACTGCAGGTAAGAATACACTTATGGTATAATTAATAATTGTTAGTAACATTAAAATGGTGATCGATATATAAACAAACATGTTTTTCTTATGGCAGCTGTTTGCACAATGACAACTGGATGGACATGGAAGACAATTTTATGTTTTTTCTGAATATGGCAGATTTAGACTCAGGGCCATAGCCAGGATTTTAGACATACTGAGGTCATAGGCCACCTGAAATGAACGTCTCTGCATTGTTTTCTAATATTCCACTTGGAGGCAGTGGAAGCAAGCTGTGAGTGCAACACTGACATATCCTCCCATTGTTTTTTTGGTTTCCACCAATTTCTGAGGGAAATATCTGAATCTTAAGCCGCTATATGCTCCACTATGTTCACCAGCAGCTATTTTTGGATGTCTGCTGTTTGGTGAGACAGGTTGCATTAAGTGGGTTTATCCGAGCTTTTTTTTTTTTGCTGAAAACGGCTGCTTGCTGTAACTGACATATATGAGAGCGGTGCTAATGAACCAAAACAGTTATATTTTTTACATTTTCTGTTATATTTTCTGTTTTATTTCCCTACACAAATGTCTAAATGGTGCTTCACAGCCTTCTCCACCTCACTACGGACTCTTATGAGTTAATACTAAATTCTTTATTTCGTAATTTGTTTGCTGGCCTAAAAGTAGTCACATTTAGACTAAAAGTATACTCAATCAAGTGTAATCTTAGTTTAAAAATAATGGGATAAGCATACAAAACATCCACCCTGTGTTTATGAAGTTCTCCCAAGCTGAAAAATACATATTGACCCTGACCTCAATATCCTCAATTGTACAGTAGGTACTGCACAACCCTGACCAGAATAGAATAAAATTAATGTTACTGACAAAATAAATCATCACAAAAAAATCAGTAAACATTAGTTTATTGAAAACATCTGTCCAGCATTTTTCAGAATGTTTTATCAAATAAATATGCAAACGGGTTAAAAAAACACCACAATGTAATGACAAAGAGAATGTTCAGACATCAGTGAGAGTGGGAATAAATAAAGGTTAGTTGATGGGTCAGTAGAATCATGTATATGCACCTATTTATTAAGATTAACATCACTTTATTTCAAATGTTCTTTTTTTGTTTTGTCTTCACAACAAGGCTTTCTGTAATTGTTTGGATATAAAAACAACCTGATACTGTAAAGACATCAAAATAAGAAATAAAATGTGAAGTCAGCAGCTGAAATATGCAATTTCATATTTTGATGGTTACATGAAAATGATTTAAAAAACCTGATTGTTTTTTTTTCTCCATGAACAACTTTACATTAAAGGTACTCTATTTTTCAGTCTATTAAGTTTCAGTCCCATATCTGCGATAATCAGTGTTCCATGGCTCGCCAATCCTAGCCAGTAGTGGAGCACAGGTAGGGAAAATGCACCGCTGTGGTCCGAAGCAAAGAAGAAAAACTGCATACATCACAAACCTTTTTTTTTTTAATTTTCTCATCACAACACTCTACATTGGTTAAGTTGCTCAGGGCAACAGTTCACTCAAGATGCAAGGGAAAGAAACCTTAGCTCCGAATGCTGTCAGACTTGGCAAGATGCAGAGGAATGATGCACCTGTCTGATGTATCTGCAGAGAAATAAAAACACTATTACTTAAAGTCTGTTCTGGGCCTTCCATTTTCTCATCTGCTGCCTGGGCTGCTTGTGATCGAATTGGTTCAGACTTACTTAATTAGTGAGGTGTCTGCCTCTATCTATATAGTGTGTGAGTGTGTGTGTGTTCAAGAAAGAGAGAGAGTGAAGAAGAGAGAGATTATGTATGAGAGCACTTTAGAAATATCTATAACAGAGGTGTTGGCACTATTGTAAAGCAGAGAGACAACACACAGACATCGGCACAATGTATGTATAGAAAAGAAACATATTTTATTCAGTAAACGCAGAAATATGGGTGTGTGTATGACTGTGTAAATATGGAGGAAAAAGAGAGTGGAGAGCATGGATGTAAATAATACATACATGACACCGAATACAGAAAGTAATGTACACAAAGATGGCAAATACCATAAAAAATTTACACAGTCAGAAGAAAATAAGTACTTGGACAATGACAGAGTGTAAGAAAAAAGACATCCTATGCATTATGTGTGTGAATTGTATGTTTATGTCATTGTGCTCACAGCTGATCTGCTCTTCTCACTTTCCACATGATGCAGGTTGTTTTTTTGTTTTGTTTTTTCTCTACAAAACCAGCCTGCCAGCAGTGAGTGTTGTTTGAGGTTGATCCCGTCCCTTCTGCAGTATATATGGGGTTAATCTCATCAGGACAAACACAAAAAGTCAATTAACTTGTCTGTCAGATACCTGTGATTACCTGTGATTATTTGAACCGTCTAGGACTCGTTTTATTGTCCTGTTCGGTGGTTTGGGTCTGGTCTCCCTCTCAAACAAATCAGCCACAACAAATAAACCAACATCTAAAAACATATGATTGTAAGACATGGATAGCTGACAGTCTGATGACACATTAGGAACTACGGACCAAACGGCAATAAAACAAAGAAAAAAGGTGAAGCTTTATTGTTATTTATTTTACAAAGCATCAGTAAAATCAGCCCTGAAATATAATTGGAATAACTGTAAAAACTGTCATCGTTTCAACTTGCCCTAGTAAAAAATCTGTTTTAATACAAAGATATTAAGCTCCTACAGTAGAATAGAGTTAGAAGACAAACAGACTTGAAGTAAATATGTTTGCCAAAAAAAACCTCTTAAAATAAAATGCCTGTGAAAAAGTTAGTCAACATATTTAAAAGGGAGTTTGTGTTAAAAAGAAACTGGTGAAATTCATCTGTGTAATTCTCTTAACCTAATGATTTAGCTAAGCAACAACATGCAATGCAATTAATTATACTGAAGATGCTTTTTTCTTAACCACTTCTTATGTCCATATGACTTACGTATTAGTAGATGGGGGCTTTTTATAGTTTAATGTTAGTATGTTAATGCTTTAATGGATATAAAAGAAGCATGCACAAGCCATACAACTCGGTCTTGAATTGTTATCCAAATTAAACTGCTTCTGGTTATTCCAGCATTAGATTTAATTAGGTTAGTAATTAATTGAGTTTAGTTCCAATTTTCAGTAATAAAAAAAAATCTTCCTAGTTTTGTCAAACTGCAAGCATTTATAATTTGCTATTGAAATAATATGGCTACTAATTTGAAAAATACATGCTTAAAACTTAATTTAAAGATGATCACATTTTCAGTGAGGAATCTATGACAGTGGAAGATATGTTTCTGACTAACATCCCAAATTTAAAGTTTAATAATGAATAATCATGTTCATTCTAAAGGTCCATTTCTTTCCAGCTAGACAAAAAAAATCTGGATTGACTACAATACGCACAGTGCTGACTGAACTTCCAAAACTTCAAAATTGCTCCACAGCATTGCAGCTAAAGTATTTTCATCTAGTCCTTAGTGTTCATCTTTGCACATGATTTCACATTACACATATTCAGTATCCTTTCGTCAAAGTGTCCCTTCATCATCAGCATCAGCATCATGCTGGTGTAAATCTCCGCTCCGCCTTTTCATATGTCAGTGAGGCCCGTTCGTACTGATCCAGGATTGCACTATTCTCAAGAAGTCTACATGATGGAGACAATGCAACATAATGTAGAACATAAGCAGACACACACACACACACACACACACACACACAACAGGACAGCACATTTTTCACACTAAAAGACAAAATAATGGGTAACACTTTATGTGACTGCTCCAGTATATGCAAACATAACGCTGCAAGCACGAACTTCTAGAACTCTGCATTGAATTTCTCCTAAATGTAACTTTTTAATGAGAAAGTTCAGTTATTAACACCTCAAATTCATTTATCTAACTTTTTATTTTACTGGTATTTTGTTTGTGCCTATTGCAACCTCATGAAAGCACAGTCGTGGAGCATACACATGAACTGTTACACACAGGCATAAAGGCTATGCTTCACAATTAACCAAACACAAAATCAATTACAAGTGACATAAATCATGCAAAACTACGGACGAATTCTGTATGAGTGTGTGATCAGTAAACATTGTAAATTACAAAGAGATGAATAAGATATTTAAATGATCTAAATGTGCTTTCTTTAGTGTGTGCAAAAAACCCCACTGATGTCATTTAATGAAAATGCGGGGTTGTGTCTGCTTTCAAATTTGTGCTTTTATGTGGACTTAACAAGTGTCTTTAGATGACTGATATCAATTATTTGCTGTAGGCAAGAGAAAAGTGCAGAGGTTAGACATCAGATTATTTGATAACAGCTTCAACTAAGGATGATTGAAAAAGTCCATGCTAATGAATATCCACTGAGTGACACAATGTATGACCTTGGGAGGACATACAGTCAACTTGAGCATCACAAAGACTTCAAACAAACTCACTAGGAGGGCAAGATGGCCGCAAGCAAGAAAACCATCTTGGTGAAAATGAACAAATAAAAAACATAAACAAATTAAATATAAACCTGCGCAAAAATCACAGAAAAGGAAAAAAATCACAGTATATACTGACTGGGCAAATGATGACTACAGAACAACATATAAAGACGTTGATTGTTGGATAAGGGTGCTTACCTTGAGATTGTCTCTTAGACCCTAGTTGTGTTGTACTCTGATTCATGTTTGCTCAAAGAGCCAATGAGGCAGAACCTGAAATGTCATGGCTCTTTCATTTAATATCAAACTCGTTTTGCATAGTGAGGTCAGAATGCATAATATGCAACATAACAGCAAAAAACTTTGTTAGTGCTTCGCTAGTCTCTGGGAGCCTTGCATGCAGACTTGTAGAAAATTAACAAACAGTCAAGAACACTCTGGTAGGAGCACATAGAAAGTGCATGCAGGAGAAGGTTGCACGTTCAAAGTATTTTCTCCAAAAATGTACTCTGATACCGTCACATAGTGTTTTTGTAAACAGATACAGTTACTTATCAAGCAGTCAAGGTGCAAGTATACAATGAAATTCTTTTTTTTAAATAGAAAATCTTGTTCATGCCAAAAATGTTTAGCTATATAGAATATAAGTCATATTTTTTCACAGTTAGGAATAGAAATGCATATTTTCTAATAATTTGCATTCAGCGTCAATGAAGTTAGTCATCTCTATGAGGCACAGATTCAAGCCCTTGTGTTAACAGTCAAAAGTGGACTGATTACAGAATTAATATCTTCTAAAACGAGGTCTGTATTTTCTTAAAGAGTTCTGACAAACCTCAAAGAACAGTAGAGTTATAGACATAAGCTATGAATCACTTGAGGGAAAACTAGACAGGGGGCGCTTGACATGTTGAAGGATGAGCATGCAAAGAGGGGGCAAATTTGTCATAATCATAATTTAGCCCTTTGTGAAAAATTCAAAAAAAATTTTAATGAAAGAAAGGGGAAAAAGAACAAGGATCAATGCAAAAAAAAAAATAAGCTTATCATAATCTTAAAAAAATAATGAGAGGAAGAGGAAGAACAAAGCTAAAATAAGAGAAAAACAAAAAATAAATGTAAGTATCCTACACACATTCCAAACATCCCCACAGTTAACTCTAGGATTGCTGTTCTTTCCTCATCAGAAATCTATGGATACTGACCGCTGTACTGCCTTTTCATGGCGTGAAAGCCGGTGGCTGGTGGTGGGAACTTCTTCCAGGTCGTCGTCCAGGTCACATCCATTGTCCGCTGCCTCTTGCGAGTAGCTGTGCTTCATGACCAAGATGCTCCTGCGGTTTCCAGTGGCCGGCAGCAATGGCCGCACTGCCATGGGTGGCTGTGGAAGGTCTGTGAGCAGAGTGGCGGCCGTGGCGTCTCGAGCACTCAAATTGCCACGGCTTCCTCGTCCACTCAGGGACAATTGGGATATGTGGGCAGAGCCTGGGTTGGAGGAGGAGCCACAGTGGTGATCGTGGACACAACGCGAGGAGGCACGACGAAGGGCATGGTAGTTCTCAAAGTCTTCTGCCAGGTCGACCAAGTCTGCTGAGGCCGCTGCGGCTGTGGTGGCGCTCCGTAAAGTACACAGCTCATAGTGAGGTGGCTCAAAGACCTCTTGGAACATGGTGGGGTCAAAGTCCTCACGCCGCAGGATGTACTTCTTACGTGGCTGCTTGATCTGGACGATGACAGACACGATGAGGAGGATGAGGACGATGCAACAGGTGACACCGATTATGGTCCCGTTTGTGTTGTTCAGGTTGTCCAGGATGTTGGCTTTCCTCTTCTCTGAGTTTAGAGAGACAGCACAATAGAAAGGGAACATTTATGAGAATATTATATATATCTAAATGGTGCTGTGAGATGTCTTACAAAACATGTGTGAACGCAACTGTCACAATGAGAAAACACAACTATGATTATAAACTCTATTCTTCTATCCTACTCTATTAATTGACCTATTTGCTAAACCCCTCATGCACACAGTGACACAGAGCTTAGCAACCATAACTAGGTCTCTAAGGATAAAGAGATACTCTGTAACAGTTTGGATGGTGGTTTCTTTTTTTAGCCTTTCCAAAATACAACAGCAAAAGTTTAAGATATGGACTACACAGTGTGTTAGTTAACCTATGAGTCACAGGCAGCCATCGTAGACTATGAAGCTTTCTTTCTGACAGAAACTCTCAGAATGGTAACGATTAAGTGTCATGCTGAAGACAACATCTGTCTTTTCTAAAGAAATCCAGGAGGCTACTTCTTCGTAAAGTACCCGGCAACAAAACTGCTGTGTTCATGGGGTCCATTGTGTTAAAAGGTGTTATGTGCTGAAATATTCCTAATAAAAACCCCTATGGTGTGTGCGTAAGCACATACATGTGTGTGCATGAACCTGCAATACCCTTTTAAGGGCCCCAGTTTGGAGGAAAATATGGTCAGCTTAATTGGTGAGGATGCTGACTTTTTGCAGGGCTTTAGCCTCAGTATTTTAGCACAATGTTGTGTATGTAGCAATCGGGTTTTCTCTTTTCAGGATTCTTGTTTTAAGATGAGCCAGGTTGAAACATTAAAAAATAAGCTGGAGACTACATTTTTAACCAAATTATAAAAATAATGTTAGATTAATTAGCTAGCTAGCTACAGCTGATAAATTCTGTCATTAGAAGTTATCCTTCCGTCCGACACAATCAACCATCACTGAACAGAAACGAAACTCTGTTTGAAATCAAGGATCCCTTATTTCAAATATTACTTCAAGTTTCGAGACATAATCTGCCACTACTTTCATTGTAAACTGCACATGTGCATAAATGGCTTAGCAACAGTAACTAAAGGGAGTGGGGTTAGCTAATGGTCAAAACAATTTCCTTAGCAACGGCTGAAAGAAGGATATACAGTAGCTCACATGTAAAGAAATCTTCTAACAAATGGACCTCACGATTAAGCCATGACTTTGATTAGCTATCAAAAAGATGGTCCAAGACCAAGAAGGTCATATAGGGTCACCGGGGAAACCATAAAGAGTGGCACAGACTAACCAAGTATGTAGAAGGGCAATCTGTGGGGAGATATGTGACTTTTAAATGCTGGATGAACATGTAGCATGCTGGGCTTCAATGACAGTAAATGGTTACATTTACAGTGTAAAGGAGAAGGGAATAAAACTTGACATTTTATCACTAATGAGGACAAATGTGGACTCTGCCGTGGCCCTATGCATTACTAGAGCGGAGAGAAGGCGGAAGATGGAGTAACAGGCTGAGAAACATGGCCTCTTCTTGCACAGTTTCAGACTGTAGGGTGGAAAGGTATCTTAGTCTGAGTGAGGAATAGGCCATGCAGGATTTACTTAATTGATTCCATTTGTCATTGGCTTCAGAGCTTTAGAGAGTTACAGTTCTATACATACAGAATACAGACATCTCTGTGTGGATCGGACATGAAGGAAGAGAGGGTCAATGTGCGGCTGGAAGTCTACATCGTAACCGCAAGCCAAGCACAACACCTTAATGATCATCAAAAACACATGGTATTTATTGACGTTGGAGTTTTAATGCTCGGTGGCTCAGGGGAGCTACAGTATAGATCTCATCTTTTGTTCTTGGAAAACAGCGATGGGTCATGAAAGGTCAAGGAACAGTTAATTGGCAATATAATGGAGATAAAATGTTGCTTTAAAATGTTGTTGAGTCTTCACACATCTCAGCTAATTTATGGGATGGCATCATATAAGAAGATGCTGCAATAAGGGAATGTCAGTTAGATGTGTAGATAAAGTACCGAGCTGCTAGGAGCAAGACACTAGGGATCAATGTATAGACCCAGTGGCTTTAAAAGTCTGACTGGAGTAAGGGCTACACTCAGCTACAGAGGAAATTAAGAAATTGACAGTATCACAAAGTCAGGGGATACACAGGACCTCACTTGCCTTGAGGCATGGAAACGGTAAAATAAGCACCTTCAAAGAATGAAAACAAAGACAGTGGAGCAAGACATATTGTCCAGAATGGACCAACCTAACACTGGCTCTAGATAGGGCCTTTTGTGTTTTTTGCAACAGGAAGGTGAGGCGAAAGCATTGCAATCAGTTACTACACTGCTAGATGCCACTAAAAATCCTGCACACTTGTCCTTTAAGTATTTCTCTTTAACATGATGTGATTAAATCATCAACAATCAAAGTAGTACTAGTAGTAGTTTAAATTTTAATTCTCAAAAATCAACTCACAGTGACTGAACTGTCATTAGATTCTGATACAAATGACTAAATAGTGTGTGTAGGGTCCCATCACTTGCATTAAAGAGCTGAAAAAATATACTTTAAGTGTCTGTAAAAATAATATTGATAAAAATGGTTCAAAAAAGGATTAACAATAAAACCAATTAAGATTTATTTTCTTGTTATCCAGTGTTATTATTAACAGTAGCAGAAGTGACAAATACTGCAGCCATTCAGTTCAAACCTACTGTGGCTCCCTGTTGCTCTCCATGGTGCTGAAACATTCAAATGTAGTCTCTCCTAAGGTCTCTCTTCATGGAGCTGAAATGTAACATCTCACCTTTGCATTGGTTCTCATCCCAGGGGTAGACACAGTTCTGCATGCCGTTGCACACCAGCGTGTTGTTTATGCACATGTTACTGTGACAGAAGAAGGCATCTGCATCACATGGAGCTGTAAAGGGATTAGAGAAAATGAACACAATAGTTATCATGTTGAGAGCTTTTATATTAAAAGTAAAGAGATTACCGACATCTAGTGTAGTAGTGCCTTCACTGAACTTAAACATTATCCACTTGCAATCTAATCAGAAGCCGTTTAGGAAAGAGTTAAACTACTTTTTAGTGAATTTCCCATCATTAACAGCAGCAAATGTGTGGGCACAAATCAGTATTTGAAGTACAGCGAAAGAGAAGTTCCAGTGTGCCAGGTTTTGAGGAAATAAATTTGGACGGGCATTACTCAAATTTAGACCTGTCTCTCTCCCCACCACCCACCCCCCACCCCCTGAACCCATCTGTTCTTCATGAATTTTCATCCTCATCCTCTTCTTCAAACATTTGCAGAGACAACTTGTGGATATGAATGAATTTCTCGCAATGTGTGTGTGTGCTGCATGTGTGCAGTGTCTGGAAAGACAGCCATGATATTTCACAATCACAAACACATACTTCCAATTTATGCAAGATGTTGTTTATTTGTACTGGGTGCACAGCCCTTGTCAACACAAATCTAAACCAGACCATAAACAAGAGCATGTCCTGAAACACATAATCATCATCATGACACCTGCCCTCCCAGTGTGCCCTGTTTGAGACACGTCTCCACCTTTCTTTCAGTGGGAGAGGTAGAGCCACCCATCAGCAAGACAGGGTGGTAAAACCAGTGTGATAATGTTACAGGCTTCTTCAAAACATATATATATATATATATATATATATGTATGTATGATGATGTATGTATGATGATGGAGCTGCGTAATTTAAAGCCAAGGTGCCCTTGCTCTCAACAACCAATCATACTAATGCATACGCCAGCTGATTGGCCAATTCATTGCTTCTTACTGTCAATCACAGTGCCATGGCAAGCTATCCACAAGCTAAATAGTTTGTCCTATTTAATCTGCCGTGTTAGTGTCACTGCCACCTGGTAGGGACTTTATAATAGGATTTATAGTTATAGTAGTTATGTCTTTATTACCCCTAACTGTATTACAGTAGGTCATTGGAGACAATGGTAACATATGGCAATATTGGATTTAGAGTATTTCCGCATAAATGTGACAAATTTTCCCATCTGGTTATATCTAGGGAGTTTCTTAACTGAATTTCCAGAACATCTACTGTATCAAGATATGTCAATATTGCTATATAAACACACTGTGAGACAATTTTAACCATATTGTCCAATATAGTGGAGTAAAAGATACAATATTTACGATAAAGAACTAAAAAGTAGCATACAATAGAAATACTCCAGTAGGTGTACCCAGATAGCTCACCTGGTAGAGCTGGTGCCCCATGTATCAAGGCTGAGTCCTTGCTGCAGCAGCCACAGGATTCGACTCCAACCTCTCTCTCTCTC